CCTACTATCACATGTACATTGCAAATTCTCACTGGGCATTTCCAAATAGCTGAAATTGCACATGTCAGTTAAATAAGTATGCCCATGCCAACAAATTGTCAAGCACAGATGTTCATTACAGTGCTGTTTATAAAAGAAAAAAAAAAAAGTGGAAGGAATATCTCATCTTTCAACACGAACAAATTGGTTATGTAAATTCTATTACAGCAGTGTGTATTCAAAAAAGAAGAAGAGAGAGGAGGGAAAGAAATAAAAGGAACAAAAAAAAAGAGAAAGAACTAAAAAGAAAAAAATTCTAACAGGAATTTTTTTAAGTACATAATATTATGATCACACAAGAGAATATCATGCCACTATTTAATATGATATCACTTCTACTCTTGTGAAGAGACATCAAGATTTATTGTTAACCAAATTAAAATCGGGTTATAGAAATCTGTAATATTTCCTTATGTATAAATCACATATATGCAATGAAATGCTCTTAAAGGTAATATTGACATTTTAGCTGATTATATGAGTAATGGGACTGACCTTTTCATTCTTTATCTTTATTTTTTATTTATCCTATGTGATATGAGAAACAGTGTTTTTAAATTAAATATCTGCAAACAAAAATCACCCAAGATATATGTTCATACATAATTTGACTATACTGAAAATCCAAATCTGTACTATTTGTTTTTAAGAATTATTTATGATTTTTTTCATGGCATTAGATATTTGGAGAAAATTCCATTTTTCATGGTTATATGGTGTTCTGGTTTTGGGTGCACATGGTTATGCCGTGTGCAGCAGTAGCACGTTCCCCTCCCTCTGTACCCAGCCTCCATAACAAGCATCACCACCTCAAGGAAGTTAATTCCTCTGTTCATGGCCAGCTCTCCTAGAAAGCTGTATGTGAGAGAAGAGGATGGCTTGCCCAAGGAGCCCTCCACAGTCCCTCTCAACAGCGTGTCTTTATTTTCAGAGTTCTTTTTAACTTTCAACCATGAATACCATACGTTTGCATTGTGTAAATGAAACACACTTTGTTTATCCATTCTGCCATATATGGCCATCTGACTTGTTTCCCGTCTTTTACTTGAAAGTTGTGGAGCTATGAATACACATATGCCTCTCTTGCTAGTACATACATGTTGAAGCTGCTCTTGGTGTGGAATTGTTAGATCATGGGATATGTGAATGTTCAACTTCACAAGAAAATGTTTAATTTTGTTAATATGGTTATCCCAACTCAAACTCACACAAGAATCTTAGGCTCAGGTCACCATGGTCTCTGGACACATGATCCCATTTGCTGCCAGCCTGAGTTTAATGACTTGGATGATTTTAATGAAATCTTTAGGGAATAAGCATTCAGAGCTATATGAAATTGGTCATCCCCATCAGTTCAGGAATTCCATCTCTGGGAACTGCTACAAAGGAAAGAACTAAAAGTGCAAGATAATCTTTGACACATTAAGATGTTTACTGCAACACTGATCATTACTGAAAAAAATGGGAGGAAACTCAAATTCTAGGAAATGGATCATCGTAGTAGATTGACAGTCTAGTAGGTGGAAAGCGTTACTTCATGGAATTCTTGATCTGCATTTCCTTGAGTATCCGTGAAGTAGAATATTTCTTCATATGTTTATTTGTATTTCGTAGTTTTGAAATGCCTTTTCATACCTTTTGACAACTTTAACTGAGTTGTTTTTCTTTTCTAATTGACTTATAGGAGTTCTTAATATATTCTTGGTATTGATCCTTTGTTTGTTATATGAGAACATCTTCTCCCAGATTGGAGCTTATCTTTTCACTTTCTTTAGGGTATTTTTATTAAAGAGGAGTTTTCCTTTTTATGTAGTCAAATTAATAAATTTTTCCTTCTGTGCTTAGTACTTTTTGGTTTTTATTTATAAAAGAATTTCCTGCTCTGAGATAGAAAATACATATCCATTTATATTTTCTTCCAAAGTTATAAAGTTTTGCTTTTGGCATTTAAGTTTCTAAGCCATCTGTGGTTGATGTATGTATGGCATGAGATAAGGATATATTTTATTTTTTTCCACATGGCAAATCATTTTACTGAACGAACCTCTTTTTCCTAATGATCTGTCATGCTAACTTTGCCAAACATAAAAGTTTGATATATTTATAGATAGATTTTAGCACATTCTTCTATTTGTTGGTCACTTGGTCTATCTCTATGTAGGTAACATACTGTCTTATCCACAAAAACTCTACCTCAATTCCACTTCTAATAAATTCCTTTCTTCTTACTCGACTTTTTTAGAAGTAGGTTACCAATTTTTGGCCCTCTCCTCATTCATATATATTTTAGAATCAACATGTCAAGTTTCATGAAAAATCTTTATTAGCATTTTAAATGGAGTTGCAGTAAGGGGAGAATTGACATTTCTATCAATTAAGTCTGTCTATCTTACCATTTATTTATATCTTATTTATTTATTTATTTATTTATCTATTTTTATTTTATTTGTTTTTTTTTTTTTAAGTTTACTTTAGGGCATGTATGCTCACCAAAGAAAGACAGAGAGAGAAAGTGGAAAAGCTACCAGGTTCAAAACTCAAACTGTAGTCGGTCATGTCGGAGTTCAGCGCCTTAACCACCACGCTACCTGCTGTCTTCTGTTATCTCTTCTTTAATGTTCTGTAGAGTTTTAAGCTTTTCATGTATATATCTTACAGATTTTGTGTTAGATATCCATAGCTTATCTTTGTCTTTTTTCTCATAGTAAATATTTTGAACCAAGGTATAATTTACCGACAATAAAATGCACTCATGTTAAGTGTACAGGAGGGTGAACTTTGAAAAATGTGTATGCCTGTATATCCACCACCACAGTCAACTCTCCATACCGACTCCAGACAATTGCTCAATTGTTTGTTGTCACTATATAATAATTTTGCTCACTTTAAAAAAAAGAACTTCACATAAGTGGAATAATAAAATATTCATTTTTGTATGCCTGGCTTCTTTCACTCAGCATAAGGTTTTTGTAAGTCATCCATGCTTTTGCATGTATTTATTAATATTGTTTTCTTTCATTTTATTGCTGAGCAGTAGCTTTTCTTTAAAACTTTGAGAATCAGAGTTTGTTTTTCTCTTTCTCTTGCCTGCCACCAATGGACTTTCTGATCAGCTCCTTGCTTTCAACCCTCAATGATTCTTGAGCATAGATAGTATTAGTGTTAGTTTATCCTAAAATATAGGGCCAGTGGTTCTGTGCCCACCTTTCTGGATTCAGCTCTGCTTCCTACAACACAATCTGAAGATGGTAATGGGTGGCTTCCTTGATCATTTCCTGACAGCTTTTTTCCAATTAAAAGAAGGAAAACCCACAAATTCATAGGGCTATAGCTCTGTCCAGTGGGGAGTTCCAGCCAGCCTAGCTTTGAGAACGGCTGGACTTTGGTTGAGGCATCTCTCACCTCCTGCATGGAGCTGCATAGACAATAGACAGTAGCGGGCTTGAGTGCATGTGCCTAGGTCATCCTTTATGGACTTTCTTTGTCTTCCAGGACAATCCTGAGAAGACAGCTGCATCAGAACAGGGGGACTTCTACATCACCGGGGACCGAGCCCACATGGACAAAGATGGATACTTTTGGTTCATGGGCAGAAATGATGATGTCATCAATTCTTCAAGGTCAAGCTATCTGCCCTTTCTTCTTCCTTTCAAAGTTTCATGGGGAAAGGGAGGCCACTTGAAAGAGTTTGCTTTTCTCTTCTAGCTACCGGATTGGGCCTGTCGAAGTGGAAAGTGCTCTTGCTGAGCATCCAGCTGTCCTAGAGTCTGCTGTGGTCAGCAGCCCTGACCCCATCAGAGGGGAGGTAACCAGTCTCACCAAGAGCATGGCCTCCTGCTTCTGTATCTATTATCACCCAACAGAACCAGCAGAAAGGCCCAGATTCCCCCATATCTCACCCAAATCCAGGTACCACAAAGTTAAAAGGCCACCATCAGACACATTTTCTTGTTGATTAACCATCACCCTCATGTCTTTAGAGTATTTATACTCTCTGCAGGAACACAATGAGAAAATATCAACACTTTGGTTTTAAGTGGACTCAGAACGGGTGCAAAAGGGACTGTCCATGGTACAGGTCACCTTGGTGGCAATGCAGGCTCTCTTGTCCCTCCTATCCAATGAAAAGTACTTTTCCATTTGCACACGAGGATATAGCAACACACCAGATATGTTGTAGGTGGCCTTAACCTAGGAGAGATAGCCATCTTGGAGGATGACAGAATATGTATCCAGAACGATCTTGATATATCAGAAAGATGGACCAAATTCAATACTCTGGACTTTCACAGAAGAAATGCAAGTTCCTTCTTGGGGATCCCAGAGAAATAGATACAATGGGGAAGATCACCCCTTAGGGAGACCTGCATACTTTTCACGGCTGTAAATCCAACATAATGCTAACATACAAAACAGTTCCTTTATGAAGGTGAGTGTACCATCAGCTTGCAGCTCAGAAGCATCAGAGCCTAAGGTCTGGTTCTCAAAATCTTGTCCCTGTATGGCTCACAGCTACATAAAATATAGATTTGTAGACCTCAGATCAGATGTACTGAATCAGAGTGACAGGGGATGCAGCCCAGGGAATCTGCATTGTAGCCAGCGACCTCTTGCCAAGTGATTCCCTGCTAACATTTGAGGCCACTAGTACAGAATGAGGGATTCTGTATGCTATCCATTAACTAGGACTGTGACAGTTGACTCTGTGCTTCCAATCTTTGGGAAGTATAAAAGGACAGGGAACTGCTCCTTAGCAGAGTATTGTTGCTAGAATTTACTGCCTGCATGGATAAGCAACCACGCAGTTGTCCATTCCTCAGAAACCTTGTTCCTTTGTGCCTGAGTTTGGGACTCTTCCTGCTGGTTGTCAATAAGTAGCCGGAGGGCACTTGTGGTCTCATTTTCTGCCACTGGAGTGTAAAGGCTTGATCCAGTAGATGAAGCCATTTGATAATAATAGTATCCACAAAACTGATCTTACCCCTTAGCTCAAAAAGTAAAAAGACCCAGGCAGAGAGAGCTAAGGCAATACCTGGAACAGAAGCGGAACAGCTCAGCGTTTGCTGATTGCAAACATTCACAGATGCAGTCTCTGAAAGATGCAACTCCCCTTGAAACTGGGTGCTTTTTCATCAATCCTACCTGTCTGAACCCATGCCTAGTTAGGAATTAGGAAAACCTGGAAATAAATGGCCATATGAGTTCAGGAAGTTCCTTTCTCCAAAGAGTTTGCATTTTTAAGAGGAGCAGTGTTGGCTCCTCAAGGTATCATTTCAGGAAGGGGAGTAGTCTGGGAAATAGGTAGGGGTTCGAAATCACTCTGCAAAGTCAGTGCTCCCAATAGTTGATCCTGTGAAGGTAGGTAACAAAAAATTGGTTAACCATTCTGTTGTTTGTCTCACTGACTGCACCCAAGGAACTGGTAGAACTTACATGATGGATTGATAAATTCAAAAGGCTGCTTAAGGAGAAAAGAGTCATGATACAAAGTTTGGTCCTTTCTATTTTTGTTAACCCCTGCAGGTAGTAAAGGCATTTGTAGTCCTTTCTCCAGCCTACATGTCTCAGGACCCAGAGGCACTAACTCGGGAACTCCAAGATCACGTGAAGAGAGTGACCGCTCCATACAAGTACCCCAGGAAGGTGACTGATTGTTGCCATTTGGGGAAAACCTTGAATCATGGAAGCTTTCAGTGAAGTGGCAGAAAGTAATGATTATTTTAAAACTGAAGTCTTTCTGGGAACTGATTTTTAAGTGAGGTTTTGGTTTTGTTTTTGGTCCCTAGGTGGCCTTTGTTTCAGAACTGCCAAAAACAGTTTCTGGAAAGATCCAAAGGAGTAAACTTAGAAGCCAAGAGTGGAAGAAATGAGATGCAATCCCAGGAAGGTCACATAGCCTCAAAGCTTCCCAGAGGAACCAGTGGAATCAGTGATCAGCTCCATTCAGAGGATCAACCCTTCAACCCTGAAGACATAAAAGGAGCTCAGCTTCCAAACAGGCATCTCCAGAATCACTGGGTGACCCTGGAGGAGAGCAGAGGCCATCCCTGACCCAGAGCCCATAGCCACTGTCCATTCTGGCCAATGTTTGGTCACTGTTTCCCCCTCTGTCTGGAGGCAGACTCAGCATCTGCCCACCGCTCTCATTTCTAAGTGCGTTCTGCTGCCCCAAGAAGGGACATGTCACCATAGCCTTGGGGCACTGTGGTCTCTGCCTGGGAGAAGGCTTGACCCTTTACATGAAGCCATTTGATAATAGTGTCTATAAACTTGGTCATTTTCTTTAGCTCAGAAGTCCCATATTTAAGAATCACTATAAAATAAAGGATTAAAATGCAGAATATGTTTAGTGCCCAAAAAAAGTTCACTTCCGAAAAATAAAGGAAAAGAATAATTCTCAAACAACAGGGAAATAATTAACTAAATGGTGGTAGATCAACTCAGTAGTATATTAAAGGCCATTAACATATCTAAAGACAGTTTACTAAGTCTTGAGAATAACATAAGCTAGGTTAACTTTAAAACTCAGAATAAAATAATATATGCATACTGGAGAACCACAGCTCTGAAAAATAAAGGAAAACTACAACTAGAAAAAAGACTGGAAGGAAATTTTCTAAAATGTTTACAGTCATTTTTATGGGGATTGGGAAGGGAAGAAAAAAAAATGGATGATAGTTTTTTCCTTTCCTCCCTACATTTCTGTAAATTTTTTTTTGAGAGGTTTTCGCTATAGGGCGCGTGCGCTTGCCAGACAGACAGAGATATAGAGACTGAAAGCGAGAAATCACCCCCCAGGGGGGATGGTCATGCCGCAATCCCTTCTCCTCCATTCTCCTCTCGGGATCTTGGGCATTGCACACACACGCGCCCGGTGTGAGTTCTAAGCCACCGGGTCCGGGACGCGAACCGGGTCGACTATGTGGGAGTCCAGCGACATAGCCATTATGCTAACTGCTGGTTCCCCCTACATTTCTGTATTTTTCAATTTTTTTAATGAAGAGATCCAACTATTTCTATAAAAAAGTGATTTTAAAGAAAGTATCCCAAAAACTACACCTTGCCTCATGTCTAGTTCTCTCTCCACATACTAACACATCCCTCAGATGTTAGTCCTCCTCGATGCCCCTCTCGGGACCTTGGGCATTGCACACACACGCGCCCGGTGTGAGTTCTAAGCCACCGGGTCCGGGACGCGAACCGGGTCGACTATGTGGGAGTCCAGCGACATAGCCATTATGCTAACTGCTGGTTCCCCCTACATTTCTGTATTTTTCAATTTTTTTAATGAAGAGATCCAACTATTTCTATAAAAAAGTGATTTTAAAGAAAGTATCCCAAAAACTACACCTTGCCTCATGTCTAGTTCTCTCTCCACATACTAACACATCCCTCAGATGTTAGTGTATTGTGTTTTATCCTGGAAGAACACAAGGACCTGAAGCCATGTCCCAGGTTCTGAAACCGGAACGTCTGGTGCATCTATCCAGGTGACACCAGCAAGGTGGAAGAGATGCTGATGGAAACTCAGAGGAATCCCAGTGCTGTTTACTCAACCTTCAGCACTTCCATTCATAAAGCTTTATTGAGCACCTACTCAGTGCTGGGACCTGGGACTAGGACGATAACCAACAGCCAACCCAGTCCCTACCTGTGTGAGTTTGCTAGGACTGTCCTAACAAAGTACCGTGGATCATGGGGACTTCTGCAACAAAGACTTATTTCCCTGCAGTTGGGAGGCTACATGTGGAAGGCCAAGTGTTGACAGAGCTGGTTTCATCCTGAGGCCTCTTTCCTTGGCTTACAGATGGCCACTTTCTCCCTTTTTCTTTCCTTTGTATGGACTTCTCTGTGTCCTAATCTTCTCTTTGTATAGGACTCTGTCATGTCACATTAGAGTAGGGGTCACCCACATGACTTCATTTTAAGTTTAAAGACTGTCAATTTCTGAAGTGCTAGAGGCTAGGAATTTAACATAAGAGATTGGGGTGACACACTTCAGCCCATTACACTATGGTGAAGTGTAGTCCTCGTGGGAAGGGTGATATTTTTCACAGAATAGTGGAAATAAATGCACCACTGTGATAAATGCCATGAAGGAAACAGATTGGGAGGACCATGGGACTCGGTGTTGGAGGAGCCTTCCATTGTCCCTGCTTAGCTGGAATTGTACAAGAAGTGGAAATACACCAAGGGAAGAGAGAGGGGCCGAGCTCCATGGACAAAGGATCCAGCATGAGGAAGGTTAAGGCCTTAAGGCCTTTATGTGAGCAAGACAGGCCCGTGTTCTCACACACACTCAGCACCAGCCCTGTCCATGGTTCCAGATGTCTCAACTCCTGACCCTCCTGCAGGTAGGTATTGAAACAATCCCCATGTTACAGATGGGACCTAGAGATAAAGCACTTTGCTGAAGTTCACACAGCCAGAATCTCTCAGAAATAGAATTCAAACCCAAGATCCACATGTTTTATTTCTCACAACCCCATTTACCATGGCTCAGTTTAGGAAATTAGTCTTTTCCTTTGAGTGCTGGGGAGCCACCAAGCTTATCGCAGAGAAAAAAAAAATCCTCTTACAGGCTGAATGACTCTTTTTAAAAGCTTGGTAAAATTACTTACTCTTTCTTTGTGCCACTTGTTTTTATTTTTTATTCCTGGGCTAGGCAAATGCTATTTTAAAGGTGGGAATTTAGCAGACCCTGGTTATTTGCCCAAGACCTAACAGCAGGAGGAGCCAGAGGCACACGCAGGTGCTCATCCCTCAGCATCATCAGGGGCTCACACTATGGGCTTGGAGTCCTGGGGTGTTGCTAGGATTCCGGATGAGCCCTGAACCGGGAAGCTGTCAGGGAGCAAGACATCTCTTTGTTCCCTGAAAACCAGAGACTTGGATGGAAATGATACTGGAAGAAAGGGGCATCTACGGTCACTGTGTCACCAGTTACTTCATTAAATAGTCTCTGGACTTTCTTCTCTGCCTACTGGGCCAAGGCAATCCATCTACAGCTGTAATCAGAGCTCTCTGCCCAAGGGCATTTGTTCACAGGACAGTCAGTACAAACCAAGGATCATGAGGCCCAGTCCCCCTTCTACCCAGAACCCCTCCACATACCTGACTCCCCAGCCAAAGTCCCTTCAAAGTGACCTTAGTCCAGGTACAAAAGGAAAAAGACACAACCCCCAGCTGCAGCTGTACCACAGGGAGCCAAACACCACCAGCCACATAGCCAACACCGCTCCCCAGCGCCCCTTTCCCCATAAGAACGTAAGACCGGCAGCAACAACCACTGTTCCCACATCACTTTACAGAGAACTCATTCTAGACCAGGCATTGTGCTAAATGCCTTGCTGAAATATTACTCAGGTATTTCCAACCTTCCCTCATTTGCATTCTACTTTCATGCATGTAGCTCTACCTACCTACTACCTGTGCTATAAATCAACCCACTTTCTTTTTAATTTCCAGAAGGTGCTTTTGCTTACTAGCAAGAGAAAGAGAGAGATTAAGAGATAGAGACAGAGAGAGATAGCACCCTTCAATGTGGGCATGCTCACACCACAATCTTCTTCCTCCATTTCTCTATTTTGTTGGGATTTGGGTCCCATTTTCAAGATACCTCATTGTATATGCAAATATTTTGAGGACCAAAAAAAAAAATCTGAAATTGGAAACACTTCTGATCCCAAGCATTTTGGATAAGGGATACTTAACCTATTTTACTCAATTTACAACCCCATTTGCTAGAGGGACCATTGAGATCCTCCAGTGGGTTGGTGAGCTGCCCACTATCATGCAGGTGCTCTCTGCATGAGTGGCCTTGTACTAAAAAAATGGCAGCTCTTTTCAATGAGCAGAATTCTGAGCCTGGAATTTCTCATAGGCCCTGGCTTCCTAAACTGTAGGAAACAAGCTCTGTGAAAGAGAAAGAGTGAGACTCAACAGACCTAAACCCACAGGCACTTGTTGATGCAACCCTTTACCTTCAGGACTGAAAGGGAGAAGCAGCACAGCACCATCTCACAAAGCACAGTGGTTATTTCTGAATGGCCTTTTGAGCTCAAGCATGAGGCTGTGCAGAAATCTAGCACCTGCAGTTCTCCATCCACAATATTTACACCAAAACACTCTGTAGTGTCAGGGCAACTCTGCTGGAAGAATGAGAGACATTCAGGTATTTCTTTCAGGCTTTTCCATAGCCCTATCAGATAAGTGCTATTTTTAAATTTTCAGTCTTTTTGTCTGCTTAAATTTTTACCCTTTGATCTCTCCCACCACCACCCTGCTATTTCCCACCCTCCTTGCATACTGTCTCTGGTATCCATAGTTGCTTTCTATGCTTTTATGCTTTCCAGTCTTTCAGATTCTGACATAGAGTACAAACATTTGGTATATATAAAGAGGAACATAAAATACCTTTCTTTCATAGACTGCCTTGCTTCACTTAGCATTAAATATTCCATATTCATCCACTTTCTATCTAATGCCAGGATCTCATTGTTATTTATGACTAAGTAGTATACCATAATGTATATGTGTTACACTTTTCCCATCCATTCATCTGTTCTTGGACATGTTCTTGGGTTGATTCCATGTCTTAGCAATCATGAATAATGCTGCAAGAAACACGGGTGTGCAAGTGTTCTTCCAACTGAGTATATTCCTATCCTTTGGGTAGATATCTAGGAGTGGAATTACTAGATTCGATGGCAGTTCTTTCTGTAAGTCTTTGAGGAACCTCCATATTGTTCTTCACAGTGGCTGTACTAATTTACATTCCAATCAACAGTGCAGGAGAGTTCTCTTTTCTCTACACCCTTGCCATCACTTATTATTCTGTATTTTTTAAATCTTAGCCATTCTGACTGGGGTTAGATGTTATCTCATTGTGGTTTTGATTTGCATCTCCTTCAGTCTCCATTTTGTAAAGGACGAAGCTGAGTTATAGTGAGGTCAGTTTGTGTGTTCATTTGGTAAATGGCATAGCCCAGACTTAAAATGGGATCCTTTAATGGCTATGCTCAGGCAATATCTCTCACCTTAGGCCATTTCCTAAACCTTGAGTAAGCCCAGACAGACTCTCAAGGGCTTCCTGGGATGATCAGGGGTGGAGGGGGATGAAGAAAAATGTATTCTCTTTCAAGAGTTCTGATTCCTGACTCAGAGGAGATTCTGAACTCTACCATGGGATTCTGGCTTCGGAGTTTCCCAGGGTATTCCAGGGGGTTATCCTCATTTGTCTTCTCCATTGAGTCCTCATCGTGAGTCAGGCTCAAGGAAAAACAGGTGGACAGCTGATTATGTACAAAGCACACAGTAACCATTTCAAATCTTTTTCTTCTAAGTTGTCATTTTTTAGAAACATCAGGTTGCATTTGATAAAGACACTGGTCTTTGAAGTTGGACCTCAATTCTGCTATAGATATTACCAGCTGTGGGACCTTAGCCAAGTCATCGACCCTGGCCACGCCTCAGTTTTCTCTTCTATAAAATGGATTTCTTTTATAGACTGGGTGACTTAGAGAAGGGCAGTCAAAGGGGCATGGGAGTTGGGTGGTGGTCAAGGGAAGAAGGCCTCTCTGATGAGGTGAGGGCA